ATCAAGGTAATACTACAAACGAATATGTAATTATTAAATTGTGGTTGTTATGTGGATATGTGAGTGAACCTCCTACTGATTCTTTTTATATCAATATTCCATACTAGTCTAGATATTTAATACTACAAATGAATTATTATTTCACAGTTTTGCAATTACCATGAATGTTTATGCAAATTCAAGGAAGAGATATCCCATGCCTTTCAATTTCCCACAAGTGCATAAACATTCACTTCTGCCTGAAACTCATGCAAATTCCAGCCATGAGACATTCGAAAATTAAACGACGTTCTCGAGGAAAGTGACATCGGTCCTGAAGAAACGATGATCAACTTACGCTTAACTATCCGTCGATCGGTGCTTCTTGGAGGACTGGCGGTGCCAATGCCGCTCTCGAGCGGGGACGCTCTGTCGGTCGTATCCGGCGACAGGCTTCCGGAGGAAATCTCGTCCATGCTTTGCAGAAGGTCCTGAGACGACGACGATGATCTATTGTCGTCGTCCACGGTATCCTGCGGCGAGCCAGGGTCCAACGTGCTCTCGTCTTGCAACGACTGCGAATCCATCTGCGACTCTGCTGCAGACATTCATTTACAGACGAGAATAGTACGACTAGTTCACTATATCTGTCGAGATTAATACTATGTCCGCGAAACTATAGTAATTAACTTCTTGATATTATCGCAATTGACTATCAAATAGTTTCACCCAAAATTTGACCAAAATTTCTTCAGTTTCGTTACTCTAAAAAAAAAAAATCAAAAGCTAGGCTTGAATAAAAATGAATAAAAATATTTTTCTTTTTTCCTTAAATAAATCATATTTAAATTCTGTATTTAAAAAATTAATACTACGATATTTCAGAGTGATTCACGTAACTTGCACACCTGAAATAATTTTTAAATTATCTTAAATTATGCGTGAAATGAGAAATTGTTGAATACAAAAACTATGATTTTAAGGGTATGGCGTATCGATTTATGCGGCGAAAGAAAAAATGCTCGAATAAACGCGAGAGTGATTACCTCGTGGTGATTCGCAATCGCTGACCCACGTGAAGCTGGAACTTCTGGAAATAGCTGGCGAAGTTTGCGTCGCCATGTCGGAACAAGCAAGCGAATCCATCGGCGGACTGTTCGGGCAGCATGAACCAGAGCCGTTTCGGATCTTCGATAACAGGGATTGAAGAGAAATCGGTAGCTGAAAGTGTTTCACTTCGTTATTCGAGAGAATAGATTTGATCTTGTTGCCTGCAATGTTTTATCGTGCACTCTCTCAGAAGTATTACTGTTAATAACAACAATTAGAGTTATTTAACTATTATTTAACAATAATCTTCAATTACTAAAATTAGAGAAATTATTGCCGAGAAATGATGATCCTAAATTTATATTACGACTGTTGACCTATAATATGCATTGTGTTTACAATTGAAATAAATTTATATACGTCAGTACAACTGAATTATAAATTCATTTACTAAAAATATATATTCTTTTAATGAAAACTAAAAGACTATCGATATTGCATTTAAGATTATGGTACATGTCCTGCAATTTACGACACGATACAAGTAAATTGTAAATTTTATTAATTTATTAAAAAGTAAATGTCAGTTTAATAGTAGATATTAAACAATAACAGTAAATACACCGACTTCAAATATTATTCGTCACTAGTAATTTCAAAATAATTCTAAACAGATTTGACAATTATAATCGATAAGCCTCGCGAAGAAGAAAGAGGTATCAAAGAATTGCAGACGTTATATAATTAGAAACGATTTTCTCTCCGGAAATAAGAAAGAAAATTCGCAAACACTCACCGAACCAGATCTAGAATTCTGCTCGTCCAGTATTTTCTTCACGTCCACGCTCTCCGCTCTGTCAAACTTCCCGCTGTCGACGCTTTCAGTGGAATCGGCGTGCTCGTTCTCCGGAAGATCGCAGCTAACGCCCACGTCGTTGCCCCTCGATCTCGAGAGCGAGAATTTCTTCAAATCCACAGGGCTAACCTGTCTCACGTCCTTGTCGGACTCCGACAGTCTTTTCGCTGATATGTCCGAGCGGAGAGTCAACGGCGAGACCGCTCTCTTCTTTGCCAGATCTTTCACATTCACCCGGCCGTTCTTCACCCGCAATGTCGTCTCGTTGTTGCCCATGTGAAGGAAATCCTGATCCGGCAACGAGGAAACTCTGACGAGGACCACGTCGTCCGCGTTCTCATGGAAAACAGGCGCGTGTTTCTTCCAGAGGAATTTCGAAAACGGCGACTTCTTCTCCTCGGTGGGCGTGACCGGTGCCGATTTCGGCCCGATGCTGTCCAACGATCTCGGCACGAGCGAGCGAATCCCATCCTCGTCCAGATCGTACTCGGGATCCATCGTCTGATCGTCGTTGCGCCGAATTCTCGCCAGTCTGGGCACTCTTCTTCGATTTTGGCAGGCGAAATTCACTGGCAGACTGGTCTTTCGATGGGCGTCGAACCGTTGCCTCGGTGGTAGCTTCGCGTTCGATTCGTCTTTACCGAGTCGATTGCCCGTGCCGATCTGCGAAGGACCAATCGCCCTCTCCTCGTCCACCTCCTCATCGGTCTTCAAACTTATCTCTACGTGTTTCTTTGGTTGGTCGGAACTGTTTGCAAGGTACTTGACGCGCGTAGTCAACGTACTATCCTCCTCCTCCTGCTTTTCTGCCGCGCGTTCGCACGTGTGATCCAGTTTCAACGATAGACTAGAATTATCCCTTTCGAATTGACCTCGATCCTGCACGAAACTCGGCTCGCGGTGGTCAACGTTCGGCGTGTCTCTACGATCTTGACATCTGGCACGTCCAACGACGACGCGCTGCAGATCCTCGGGCAAGCTTCCGCTCTTCGTTCGGTCGTTGGAAACGGACTCCGAGTCTCGCGACTCGTCGTAGTCCGAGCTCAACAGGAAGCGATCGGCTGCCTCGTCGCTGAACAACTTTCCATTTCGTCGATCACGGCTGGCGTTGCTCGGCCGGGACGATGATCGATCGGTGCTCGCCTCGCACGAGCTGCCACCAACCGAACTCTCGCTGTCCGATATGCCGAACTCGTTCAACAGCTCCTTGTACTGCACGACCCTCCGCCGCTCTTCCTTGTTCCTCTTCTGCTCCAGCTCTCTCGTCAGCTCGTCGATCTCGTTCGCGATGATCGTGTTGAACTTCGACCAATCGCCGACGTCCTCGAGCACGTTGCAGCTCCTGCTGCCGCCGCAGTTCTGCACACGTCTGTACGCGAAGCTTCTCGCCGGTGGTTTCACGATCGCAAGAGGATCGACGACAGTGCTCGCGTAGCGTGTCGCCTGCACCGGCAACGCCGTCTGCGTGGGATACCTCGGCTCGTCGGCAATGATCAGGGGAGTCGTCGGCGACGACTCGATGATCTCGCCGATCTCCTCCTGTCGAACAGAGAGCAGAGACGCGTTAATGACAAGTTATCGCGCGGCGATCGTTGCCCGTTTCACTGAGAAACAGTCTCGGAGCTTTCGTTTCTTGCTTTCTTTAATTTCTCGGAAGACAATTTTTTGAAACTTTTCTGTTACGATGGTTCGCTCCGCCGCTGAAGCGGGACCAACAGAAGTGTACACTTTTTGCGAACACATTAATCCCCGTTTTGAAATAGAAGCTTTTTTTTAAACAAACTTTAATTTTTCAAGCAAAAATCTAACTTAATTTTTTTTCGTACACGTTGTATTTGTAGCCGATCTTTTTCGATTTTGTCGTATAAATATCTCACTGTCGAGTAGGAGAGATAGAAAAGTTTCATGGCTAAAGTGTACTACGTATTTTTAATATGTGATTAAAATACGTATATATCCGGCGTTTGTAATAAAAAGATTAATTTGAGAACGATTTGAAACACGAGCGCGTATATATCGAGTTTGACTGGAGTTCAAGTAGGAGGTTTCTGCAAGAAATTTGTTACTTTACTGTATAACAGAGATTCCTTAGAAGATTTAATAATTTTTTTTTTTTAACATATTTGCCTTTGCGAATGTGTCTTTTTTTGTGCAAATTTTATTTAAATTTTTCTAGAATCTTTCTATAAAAATTAAAGTATAGAACAATAGTGATCGATCTTGGGGATTGTCGACACAATTATCGACAATCTTGGAAAATAATAATAATTCCAAGACAAAACGGAGAAGAAAGTGCATTAATGGTAGATTCACTAAGTCAATGTTTTGTTTACTAACACACTTGAACTTTCACATTTAGTCCAACGTACTTCATTACTACTTCATCACTAGTAATCGTGTACGACGCATTTCATTAATTAGACATGTTTGTATGACATTTTCTATTTCATTCTTCCCGGAGAGTACGTACAGAAACTTGTATTTAATTAGCAATTAATAATCGAAGGAAATGATTATCCGCCAGAGGACGAGGAAGTAATTTCTCCGTGACTTGACGAGAAGAAATTTTTAAATATACATACATATTTCCTTATCAGGCAAGGAGTTAACGAGTAGAATGAATCTTTCATCGCCAGACGCACGATCAACGGAGAGAAACAACGGCACTTGAACGAAAGGAAACCGTGTAATATCCGTAGCAAGAGTTGATGGGATCGGCATTGCGAATCGTCCGAAGCTCGTTTCGATCGATTATGTTCGAGCAAGCATCAGAGGAACGTTTCATCTTCGAAGTATATAATAGCATCGTCGAACTGAACCGTGTCAATTGACGAAATCGCAATCGTATACAGATTGGAGAAAATAATAACAGCCCATTCAGGATGTTTCTAAAATCATGGTAACGATCAGCCAGAGTGTGAAAATAAGAGAGTGAAAGGAAAGGAATGGAATTTTGAAAGTATGTTCTCGTTTTGTTTTCGAGGAAATCGTGTTTGAGAAAGATTGTCTCAGGTATATTTAGAATTCAGTTAATTCTAGACGCGACAGAAAAGAATAATCAACAGGAAAACTTCGTTTTCGAGGGCATCGAGTTTGGAAATTCAAATCAAAAAATTTCGTTCTATTACTTTCCCACTTATTATTGAACGTGAGATACTCTCACATTAATTATTCTTTTCTGTCACGTCTAGAATTAGTTTTTCACTCTGAGAGAATTTCATCTCATTTTTCGACATATTTTTACACGACTTTGACAACACTCCATATAGATATAATTTTGCTCTACTATATTTGCGTTTAACGAGAGGAATGAAAGAAGTTTTCAGCTGCAACGGGCAAGGGTCCCGTCCCATTGATAAATTGTGTTTAACGCGAGGAACGGAACGAATTCGTGCGAGGTAGGCAGCGTTGAAATCGCGTTCGACGCGCGTGTTAAACGGTTCGTAATGAAGCGGTCATAACGCCGACAGCAACGACACGGGTACATAAGTATGTATGTATAGCTTCTACTGCTCGATGCGTGAGGAAAAACTGGAGACTAGAGGACCGTTCGTCTTTTTCCATTATTACCGGGCGACGTTGCCTCACGGCTGGCCATAGAAAGTGATGCTGCCTCTAATTTATGAGCCGATCATCGCCGTGGACAAGGGTCAATTAACCTCGATCACCGGTTTAGAAACCTGTTCAGTTTGTACGACACTTGTTCGACTTTTCTACTCGTTCGACTGCCGTTGATCTCACGGACGCGTTTCGCCGATCCTGGTGTTTGTTTGCCACGACACGGCCGTATAATGGAAGTGATCTCGAATAGTTGAAAAAACGTTACGCAAGCGGTAATGACGCGACCTCTTGCCCAGTTGACTTGAGAATTTGTAGGTTGTAACGAGGACCTCGCGTGAAAATGTAAAATTCGCGTGTAACTGGCGTTACTGATACTTGTATAACGGTGACCGTTGAATCTCCTATTCGACGAATCAATTGTACTCTTTGACTTGTGTTTCAAAAAATTCAGCCCATTTCCTTCGTTCGTATCGAGAATTATATGCTACAATTGATCTGAGATTATAGACAGCAAATTCGTAAAAGAAACTCTCTCAATTTGAATGAATTTCCTCGCGTCTTAGTCAACGCGTTCGACGTTATTATATTGTGAAATGTACCTTTTGCACTTGTCCATTACTTCAGTGTGTACGATGCTTTACGAGTCTTGCTTTTCACTGTTTTCCAAAGTGACAAAATGACCTAGTTTTGCGCGAAGGAACTATGAAACTTCAAAATTCAGGACACAGCCTATTCACCTGTAATTAAACATTTTCGTACGGCTTTCTCTTTGACAGATTGTCAAAACTCTTAATTTTTCATCCCGCTGCGAACGAGGGCTAAGCTTCCATCCATCAAAAACTTTCGAACTGCCAAACAGTCTACGGTGAAACACACGAAGTGGGTAACGAAACCGAATAAAAAATAAGAAAAATTCCCCATTGTTTCAAGCTCATCAATCATTAACCGCACGCTTGCAGCGGGATCTACGGTCTAGCAATTTTAGAGCTGTTACAAGTGCCGGATCGGCTTATTTTTCCCATCGATTTCTCTTTTCCGTACGATAACATTTTCATTTCACGTCGTATCAATCGTCCTCTGTTGTCTTTAGAGGAACGTATATCGTACCGTACGCGTTTATCTAACCCCTTCAGTGATAGAGCCGTACGTTTTACGGAGCAAATAGAATCGATACGAATTCATTTTATTATTATTTATATAGGACGTCGAATCTACAACTCCTTTTGTCTACCAGTCTTTAGAAGAAAATTGTATTTGCACATTTTTGACGTTTTATGGTCAACAGCGAGGAATCGAAGAGTACAAACAAAATCTATATTTAGAACAGTAGTTGTCAATCTTTTTTTGGCCATGGCCCATCCCTGTGACACATTATTCAAAAAGAAAAGTTTCTGACATGAAGAAAGCCTAAAAGGCTCCTTTAATTAGGGAGTAGTTGATGGTGCATTACGCAACGCGCGAAAGTTAAATTTTCATTTAAAGAAACGCCCTTATGGAACGTGGGTGCCACGGATTTAATTATATTCATTTCTCGCTGCTGACACTTCCAAAAATAGCTGCTCAAGAGACCGAACGAATCGATCGGATTCGAGGAAAATTCGAGGACAGCTCGACTCGTCTGAAAACTCACGTTCGATAGCGAGCACGAACGAACGAACGAAAGGACCGCGACGTATCACCTTCGACGTATCGAAGCGATCTATCAAGCGAGCGAGCAAGTAAGCTCGGCCGTTAATGAAAAGCTTGATTAAACCTACTCGCGGCCAAGTCGAAGATATACCGAGACGCTGATACGCGGCGTCTGTCATTAATCAAACCGGCGAATAGTTCTTCGATGCACGCGTTTCCTTTTAAAGAGACCGTTCGAACTGCCGATGAAACTGAAAAATTGCCTCCGTCTCGTCCCAATCGTCTTCGCCTCTCGCGTCTTTCACTCGTGAATTTTTCTTTTCTTTCCTTCTTTTCCTCCTGCCGGCACGAAGAAAAATATTCGTGTTAAATATTCGTGCGCTCTGCTTCCAGCCTGTATTTCGAATTCGACACTCTTTCGATCGTTTTCCTTTAATGTTTACTAGATCAGCACGTGCAGGAATTTTTCTTACTATGCAAAAATCAAGATTCCATTCTATCCGTAATTTGTATTTGAATATAGTAGTTTTC